TTTCCCTCCCAGAAGCAGATGGGATGTCAACCAGTAGCCCTCATGTCACATCGCAAATGTCTATAAAACTCAGCCCTTGCAGAAAAGATTTTTCAAACCAGCCGAAAGGGCCAGCCAGTTTTGTAGGGCATACCAGCGCCAAGCATTCGCGACAAAGGTATGTAACAACAGGCCGCGACAAAGGGGTATGTACCAGGGGGGGCAGGCGCGACAAAACGAGGGTGTGATTCACAGATATATATATATATATTTGAGCATATACAGATATGCACTACTGTGCTTCATGTTTTTTCTCTATGGGAGGATTGTGTGAGGGTTATATAGGGATACATACGGATTATCTAGGGATTCTGCGCGGATTAAGCACCACTGCTTGGTACTAGGTCCCGTAGCTGCGATATATAATTATGTGAAGCACATTTTGACAATGAGGCCTGGTAGGGCACATACAAATATCTATATCTATTTATGCACGCTGTATTTATGCAGTTCATGGGCATGAAAAACAAAAAACACTGCTTTTTTGGTATATGGACGCCTCGCAGTCCTCACATAATCCCTTGCATAAACCTCACATTATCCCCATGTAATCCTCACAGAATCCCTATATCATCCTCACATATTACTCCCAGAGGACGCAGCCGCAGCGACGTGGTACCAAGTTACTGCTGCTTAATCCAGACGCAATCCTCTAAGGATGCTGCAGCGGGGACATGGTACCAAGCACTGGCGCAAGGGAGGTGCAGATAAACAAAATTACAACACGAGGCATGGTCCAATTTCTATAGATGCATGGATACACACACACACGCACTGCTCATGGGCATGTTTCCTTTATCATGTTCTTCTTACATCATCATAAGTTTGATTTCATCTTTGTATTTCTTTGTGTAAGGGGCATGAAGAATAGATTTTTCTTACAAGCTGACACCTGCCCCCGCCCCCGGGCCTCCGCCAGCCCTCCCCTCCCCATTTTTCTCGATTTTCAGGTTCTTGGACCCCACCACCACCTTCAAGCACACCACCCACCACGCAACGCCACCCACCGCGAACCACCACCAACCACCACCCACCACCACCCACCACCACCCACCACCGCCACCACCGCCACCACCGCCACAACCACCACCCCCGCCACCACTACCGCCACCACCGCCACCACCGCCACCACCACCACCACCCCCGCCACCACTACCGCCACCACCGCCACCAGCACCGCCACCGCCACCGCCACCACCACCGCCACCACCGCCGCCGGCACCACCACCACCACCACCACTGCCACCACCAGCACCAGCACCACGCCGCCTACCCCCCCTCACCCCCCCCATCTCATCGTAAACATGGTAATTGTCCCCTTCCCTTTTGTACTTTTTCACGCGCCGTATAGATTGACGATGCCGCCGCTTTGTATTTTGTACACCAGCTTTGAATTGTAAGGAAAAGTGGCAAACCCCGCCTCACTTTATGTTGTGTCATACGGGGTGGTCACTGTCAGAACTCTTGAAGGGGGATCGCGAGCCCTCCAGGGAACCCTTTGCAGATGATTGTGTTCCAGTTGAGGGTCATCGACCGCAATGTGGGTGTAAGCACAGAAGCTTCCGCAATTGCTTCCATGTGACTAGATTCAAGGTGATAAAGCCATTTCGAGAAGCCTTTGCTGATCGCAGCGTGGAGAAGGACATGTTGTTCTGTGAGGGCAACTACTGCGCAGCTTGTGGGAAGCCGCTGGTCATCACCAGTAGTTCAGCGCAATTTTGCCTGTGCGTTAATACAGTGATGTGCGTGAAGCTGCCCAAGACTAAGGCTCTGGGGCAAGCATGTAGGAACCTGGGTCGGTCAGACTGCCAGTGAGAAGCATCTCTTCCTCCGCTTTGGCATGCAGCACGGACTGGATTCCATTGACGCTTAGGATGTGGGGATAGCAAGGGCTTCGGATATACGGTCTCCAGGATCGTTCCCAACAATTTGAGGTGAGGACATGGCAGTCTATGGTTGGAGGGTTGTACGGCGTGGAGGGTGCGCATAATCCTGCATCTATGGTTTTGTGACGTCGTGGCAACGTGGAGACCTCTAGCAAAGCGGACGGATGACCGTTTGTTTCATAGCAATACTTTGCAAGATCCACCAAGGCATTGGCGAATGGAGAACGGCAAGGTTCGAGAGGGCTGGGCAGTTTTTGATTTCCCCGGCCTGTTGAAGCAGCTGGGCAAGGACTTCTTCGAGATTGCTCGGCGCCCCAATCAGATCCCGTCTTTGACTGCAGCCTGAAACGGCGCAGCGAGCTTGCATACATACTTTATGCACACCTTTGTGAGTTGCTGGGCTCTTGTCCAGGCGCATGTGTCAAAACTGCCGCACTTCCTTGGGGAAACATTGGAACATAAAGCAATGACCGGGCCCCCATTTTGACACACCTATGTCTTCGCTTTGCCAAGCTGTCCTGGGCTTGCTTGGCTTCTTAGCTTGTCGCAAGCTGTTGTTCAGTCGACAGGTTACCTGCTAAAGTGCAGGTCCCCGCAGAAGGAGCGAATCTCAATTGATGGGCTCTACGCTAGTCGTTCAGGCTACGAAGCAGCTTGTTGACATGCTTGAAGGTTTGCAGAACAAAACTACCTGGTAAGCATCCGCAAGAGCTTGCTTACAGCAATCATCAATGCTCCTCCCTTCACTCGTCCGCACGATATTGGACGCAGCACATGCCGCGCAGAAAGAGCTGTCGCTGGGCTTGGGTAGGTCACGAGAGGAACAGCACCATGCTAGCACAGCAATCGCCATTAGTAGCCCCAACCAGAACATGCAGAAGTGCAGTTGCCTGACGGACGACCTCTCATCTTTGGCCTTTGCAGTCAACTTCAAGCACACGCTGGTGTTGGGGGGCTGACCATCAGACCGAGTAACGAGCAGCATGGTCCTGCACCTGCAACCCGCTTCCTATTGCCATGACTTTTGGAAGAATCTCCTGGCAGAAGCATTGTTTTTCCAACGCAGGCATCGAGTCGAGCTAGTCTCCTCGCCACTGGCTGGTTTGCACGGTCTTGTGGGTTACCACTCTTCCGTTGCAGTCTTACCGGCAAGTGACAGTCAGAAGCAGTCCTGAGTTTTCGAGGATAAGCACTTTCCGCGCATGGCTGCAGTGGTTACACCGCCTGTGTGTTGGAGTGCTACAGGACGTGCGTTGGCCGTCTGCTCCACGTGTAGAAAGCTTGCTGCCTCTGGGCTGCGGCATATAAGTGGCTGGCTCTCTTGTGGTGCACTCAGGTTTTGGTTGACGGAGAGGCTGGGACGTGGAGACATCACCAACCGTACCTGAATCCAGCTTGTCCAGATCATCTCCTATGCTTTTCTATTCAGGAGTTAAGACCAGTACCGTTTCAGAAGGTTTTTGAGAATCACGAGCGCCCCTGGCCCGAGCAGTTGCCGGATATGCGTGTAGGAGTACTATTTCACTCCGAGCGGGATTCGGTGCTACCCGAGACTGACCAGCCACAGAAGAGCGCCACTCACTTGCACTTGGGAATGGGGAGTCTGTGCATTTGCATGCCGTTGGCTTCTTCCTGACAGATTGCAGCTACATGGCACGTAGCTTCACGCTTTTGTTGCATATTGTCGAGGCGAGGCGTGCAGAGACAGCCCATGGGGGAGAGCCCGCTGCCCAGCTTCTCACCAGGCTCAGTAGGAAGGATGCCGAAAGGTTTCTTATCCCACAAGTTGCTGGCAGGACGTTGAACTCTTTTCACCAATCTCTTTGGTCAACATCAGGATCTCACAGGTTCATTCGTACACGTCAAGCTACGTGGGAGGTGCAGCCCTCGCGAGGGATCAAGCAGTACCATCCTCTTGACTGGTAGCAACACAACAGGATTCCTATGAAAGCTTGGGGGCCCTTCTGAAGTACACCCCCCCCCCTCCCCAAAGGAGTGAATTCACCAGACAACCCTCACAGGGATTGCACGCGAGGCCCCTTGGGCGGCACAGCCTTGCTCGACGTGCTGAGCAAAGATTTCCAGTGGCTTCCTCAGACAAGCCTTGCAGGAAGTCATTCAACAATGATAACCATGGCAGCAACAACATAAGATCCTAAGCACAAGCTGGGTAGGCCCCTGGGATATTTAATATTTTCCCTAATGGCTTTAATAAGGGACCCTACATACTAATATTTTTCAAAGGTCAGCAAGGAGGCACCAAAACCAAAAAGACAGGTGGATCTGACTTGTACGGTCCACGAAACGACTTCAGAGTTCACGTTGAGCAATTCACAAGCTGCTGGCCCTTGGCATCGCAGGCCTCAAACTTATGACCTGCTGCGCAAGAACTGCAACAACTTCACAGCCTCATTCTCAGTGACCATCCAGGTGCAGTCTTGATTGATATTCAGCGTGTGAACTCCATTGCATTCATAACTCCCTTTTCGTGTTCTCGTGTCTTAGCGTCCCATCACCATGCTGTTGAACCAAGTGTTCGTGCAAGCCGTCGCAGATCAACGTGAACGTCCTCAATGGTTGCTGCTTGACAAACTGGCACCCCCGGACCAGATTTCGTGACAGTCATAGTTATGTACGAGTGTTGCACCCGGACACGTAATTCGTGCTCCAGGAATGTTCTTGTTGGTTCTGCTGCAAGACCGCAGAAGCTACTTATGATGCGCAGCCAGCTATGGTTCTCAACTTGTAGTAGACCCGGGCACATCTCCCACAAGACACATATTGCCACAACCTGAATCTTTATGGGTTTTTGATGTTTAAGCACGCAGCCAGCTTCTGGAATGATTTTCAGATCAGCGGGATGTTTGGCAAATGGCACTTCGGGGGCCACGCCGTGCTCGTGGACCTGCCAAGGCATTTTGGAGAGTGATTAAGCTTGTTGCCGCTCATGATAGTTCAGATCAAAAGTAGCATCCTGAAATTTGGAGGCAACAACGCAGTCTTCTGAAATGGGTTCATGCTCCGCGTGTAAGGGGTCTGTTCGGAGTTGGCTTTGCGAAGATTACTTAAAGAAAGCGATGGTTGATACCGACCTGCCATGTAATTCTGACATGCTTAACAGACTACCAACAGATGCGCTCATCAGTTGGAAGTGTAAACCCATCAAACAAAATGATAGAACGTCACGGAAACAGACACTGCCGCACAAATTGTCTGTCAAGCTGGAGCAAGAGACTCGCAGCAGCAACCACCGTAGGCTGCATAAGCAGCAGGTGGCCTTTGCGTCATGCGGACAAGGCCCGAAGTCCACGCGGACACGGAGCCATTTCTGCGCGTGGCCGGCCGAAATCCAAACAGCACAGCTCACCTCACAGTTTTCTTCGAGGGCACCGCAAACACCATTGAACCACTGACCACGCAGATTGGTCTCTTCTTTACTCTCACAGACGCTTTCGATGTAAGCGGCGGGAATTTGGGCGGTGCACCCATCACCCAGCCGAGAAAGATGGCATTCGATGGGTGTGGCGTCACTGACGGCTTCTGCGGCACCATTTGTGCCAAGGGCCTGCGCAGGCAATGCCAAGCAGTGAGGCGTCAAGTTGACAGTCTTATTGCGGAACTCTCTGCCAGCTGTCGACCTCCGCCACCGCTACGCGTCAACGCAGTGGGGCTCTCGCGCGGTGGAGTAGCGTGCTTGTACTTGGCACAGGCGCTAGCAGACCTGGAGATGTCAACCTGCGAGCTGTCGCTTCTTTTGTTCGACCCAGTCCCTGGAGATCTTCTGACCGTCGCACAATTAGATCTGTTTGGCCTTACGAACACGTCCGCCTGTTGTGATGTCTCCATGTGCCAATGCTTGGCACGAGTATTGGCACTGTATCCGTACGAACCATTACCTTCCATTGCTTGCCATGCTCCAGTCCTTTGCCACTATCCCGACGATTGCCTGGTAGAAGAGGAAGTGACGATGGGGTGCCACCAAGGAGCGCTGCAAGTACATGGCCTGCAGGGGCCTGGGATAGATTTGGACTCTGCGCTGTCATTCCTCCGCATACGTCGTTGGCTGATGGAGTGTGGGACACCGCTAGATCACAGGCACTTGGAATGCACAGTGTCAGTTAAAGCCCTTGAGGAGTTCTGCCTGAGGAAGTGCGACCAGGAAACGAAGCGCAATCGTGCCAGTGTCCGTTCTTCTCACAGCGCTCATAGCTATTGGGGCGCCACCATTATCCGAAGGCAGGGCATGAGGGATAGAGGGTCATATGTGAATCCGCACCACAGACTTCTGGCCAATCCTGGGCCCGGGGCCAGCGAAGATCATGATTGGCTGCTGGAGATAGTGCGGGAGAAAACGCCCTTTCCGTCTGGGCTGCTTTGTTTGCTCATACTTGTGGGGCTTTCCATCGTGTGTCCTCTTCTGACATCATGATGTACAGTATGAGTTTTCGATGAGTGGCGAGTGTGGCTCCAACACTACGACTGCGGCCTACCGCACAAGTGTTACTGCGCTTCAGGGCACGGGTGAAGTGCTTCTCCGGCCGTGATGCTGTCTGCTGAGAGTTGGAACAGCAGACGAAGCTTGACGCATCTTGATGCAAAATGTATGGCGCGACAGCAGTCACGATCAGGCAGTTTCAAAAGCTTCCTGAGAATAATCTTTTTCGCATCCTGTAGGCCCAGAACCTGTGCTTTGAGCATGACCCGCGAAATGGCCACACTTGTCCGGCTCTCGATAGCTGTCTTGAGCTCAGCAAGTTTATTGCTCACAGCCTGCCACTGGAGCATGCTACTTCTTACCAGACATCAGCCATCATCAGCCTAAAGTCAAGAGCCCCAAACTCAGGCCCCAAAGAGCACTTGGACACTTCGCAGGAGGACCGATTTTGATATTCGTGCAGGAGAGACCCTTAGCAGGCTTCAACGCAGAACGAATCCCTTGTGCTATATGACTGAACCAGAAGTGCGTGGAGGATTTGGCCGAACGCCTGGACACCGCAAGAAGCTGCTTGACTTGTCTTGATCTGCCACTGGCAGGCATGCCGCGGAGCCACGGCAGTCGGCGGGAAAAGCCTTGCCCATTTCAACATGGGCGGTTTTACCCCCTCCCATTCCAGTAGCAGCATGTTCCAGCCTGCTCCTGGAAACAAATTCTCAAGCTCAAATTTGTCTAGCGCAAGGTGTTGAAGTGGTACGCGCAGAACGATCCACAGGCCCTAATGAGTCTCCGGAGCTAGCTGCCAAAAATCCAGAATCTTGAAACACGTGAGGGATCGTGGCGTATTCTTGGGATTCCGAGTGTGAGACAATCACTGTAGGGTCGCCTGACAACGTGAGGAGCCCACAGCATCTATGGATCTTACATTAAGACACCGTCCCCACTCCCAGCCGCAAATCCGAGGAGCTTGGGAGGAGGCCCTGGCACGAAGGCAGAGGAAGCAGGCGCAGCAGGAAGCCCTCCCCCTTTCTACCTAAGCTCATTGCCAATTTTTGCTGGGCAAGCGTTGGTAGCGCGAATCCAGGAGTTTGTGTGCAGGGTGGCATGCTACGTGATTTCACATTGACAGCCGTGGCTTGGGCGCGGCTTGATGGACTTGTGTTGAAAGGGTTCAATCAACCCTTCAAGCAGCGATTTAGAAAGGTTATGCAGATCAAGCATCTCGCCGGCAGACGTTGCTGCAGCTGGCGCATTGCATTGGGACCAGGTGTCCTGTGGACGGATCTTCCACAAACACTGAAAGACTGGCGTCCAAGGCACATACTTGTTGGAATCCCACAGGCCTTGCTGCAGTGAAGAATCCCTCAACTTCCAGCAAACCCTCCGTGGCCGACCATGCAACCCCCTTGGCCCTCTTTTCCCCCAGGAGAAGAATCCCAGCTGCGAAGCAGCGGCCAGCCTTGGCACCAAAGCTGTGCAGCGCAGCTGCAACTTTGGCTCTTGCACTCTCTTGGGCACAAAGTGCACTTCCAAAGCAAGCAAACGGGTCTCTCTCAAGGGGTTTCCGACGCGAGGTGCTTGTACATGCTGCCTGTGTGTCGCACCTGAGTTTGCAAGATCTAGTGCGTTGTCAGCTGGTTTATGTTATGCAGTGGAGCTATCGCGGTAGCTGGCGAGTTTGAAAGGACTAGGAAACGATCACACCCCACAATCCGTGCTCATATGTCAGAAATGCATGCGAGAAACCTCCATTTTGCAAAGCTCAAAGACTCCAATGTGACACCTCATGATTGCCTGGCTGCCAGCCAGCTAGGACACAGCCAGCCCCTTGCCGCCTGTCCGCACCAGAAGTGCAGCAGCCGCGGCATCAATGTTGGTAGCTAAGCGCTTGTGAAAATCTGTGAGGTGGGAATTAGAAGCGTTTGTCCGTTTGTGCCTGCAAAAACCCCAAGGTTTTTGTGACTCGGAGGACCTCCCGGTGCCCCCCGGCATATTTGAGGCCATCCCGGCAGTTGACGATGGGCTTTAAGGCTCTGCGGTTCAGCTTTCAGGCCCGGGAGTAGAAATTTTTGCTTTGGCCTGGATGGCTGCATTCTCCTTAGGAGCGTCCCGAGAGATGGTTCGAGCTGAACGAGGAAGCTAATTTGGCTTGTTCTTGGGAGAGACCTGGAACTTTGATTTCAGAGCTGGCAGCCAGGATATAGAGGTAGGAATGCATGCGCCGCGGTCGGATCAGACCATGGGGGAGGTTGGGTAGCAATCTTACGCAACAGCAGGACCAGCCGATGTTTCCAGCGAGGCAGCCAAGCAAATGTTCTCCACAGGTGGCATGGTATTATGATGAGAGATGGTATCGAAGGGCAACGTCTGCCAAGTTGCCTCTTGTCTGCCAAGCTGTGACGCTCGAGTTGTCTTGAAGGACTTGTACTCGTAGATGCTGTTCTGCTGGATTTGATTATGCGAGGCATTCTAGGATTCTAGGACTCACGCAATATTTGGATTGCGTGTATATATATATATATACGCACACACATATATATATAGATATAGATGCCCGGAGAGGCCTTGCATGGAGAAGACTGGCAAGTTTTGAAAATCCATGCAGACACTCACCCTGCCAGATGTTTGCCCAGCAGCACCCAGAATCCACGCAGCTTTCCGAGAAGCATACGTGTTTCTTGGTGAAGCATACAACCTCCTTTCCCGTCTGGCCATTAAAGCATGGAAACCTCATTGCCTCAGATAGTGGACTTCAACTAAGCATTGCCTCTGAGGAGGCCAAATCTGCGGCCCCCACTGATCTTCAACAAGCCAAAATTCAAATCTGGAGATGTTTCGGACCCATTGCAAACCCAGCAGCGGAAAGGATCTCCTCTGCAAGCTTCCTGGCTGCCTCGTCACCGGGCTGCTAACCAACCAAAGGTTGTAAGGCCCGGAAGTTTATTACCGGCTCTATTTCTGACCTGCAGTTTCTCATGTTCAGCCATTTCGGGGTTTGAAGAGCAATTGAGATTTTGCAGTTGTGTTGCTCTGTAGCGCTACGGCTTCGCTCGTGTGGTTTCATCAGTTTTCGGCTGTTGCTGAGCTACACCGCACCCTGAATCTCTTGGCCTGAAAGCTTTGCAGGCTGTACATGAGGTTGTCTTGCGTCTTAACAAGACATTCCACACTGGGTTCACAAATCAGCTTGCGGTCGAACAGCTGTTTTCTTCACAGTCCTGTACGACTTCCATTGCTTCTGCTTCCAACCATTTGCCCTCCACATGGTAGCGTCACTCTGACAGGATCGTTTTTCATTGTAGACAGGTGAAATCTGTGGAATGTGGGCAAGTTGCAGCACAGGCCCCTCTGGCACTGCACCCCGCGACTTCGTCGCTACCGTGAAATTCACCCAGATGTCAGGCTGGCGGGCAGCGTCAGTTTCGCAGCAGGAAAGACCCATAGCCATAGTAGACCCCGAGTCATACGTCCTTAATGAATTGGAGGTCTGCAAGAGCCCCTGTCGCATGTTTCTGTCAGCCTGCAAAAAATTTCAAGCGTCCTTGGCGCCCTATGTGAAAAGCAACAGCTTCAATGATAACTTGAGGCCTGCCTTCGCATCAGATATGGGGCAGCGCTGCTCACCTGAGTTGCTTCAAGTGCTTATCCACAGCTGAAAGATGCAGCTTTTCAGAAAGGCTTTCCGAATTCATGTTGCCTCTGGGATTTCTACAGGAGGGCTACGCATCATCTTGAGGAACCGCATGCAGAAGGCAACCCCTAGCAAAGGGCTCCTCTATGGATCTTCGAAGCCCGGCATGGCATGAGGAATCGCATGATATAGGGACTTCGCTTTATGGAGAATTCCTGGAGAAGTTGAACTGTCGCTGTAGGGTTGGTATCCTACTACGTAGTGTCTACCCTTATGCTGTTGGTGCCATCAACGATGCGCAAAGCAATGCCGCTCAGTGCTTTTTAGGCGCTGTGGTATGTGCTGTTTGCGGTACAATCTCACGCCTGCGCTTGCTGAATTGTGGAAGTGCCCTCAGAGCACTCACAGGAACCCGCGCAACCACTACTTGCATGAGTTCCTTCCATGACAGAATGTCTACGTAGAGGCGTCCTACATCCTACTGCAGCAAACAAACCCCGCGAGCTGCTGGTGCTGAAGCAATCTTGAGATGCAAGAAGAGGTCCAATGTGTTGGGAAGGGGTGATGAAGTCAGTCCTTAAATCACTGACTTGCGTTTCCTATGCTTCAACGCAAGTCCAATCCATCTCACCAGTCCCGCTATCGCAAGAAGGACATGGAAAGGGCAAGTCGCACTCAGGGCTCCATGCCTCGACTGTAGCACGCTTCAAGCTAAGGCTTTTCAAAGTTGCTGCCTGCGCTGGGTCCGCTGGGTGTGCCAGCTGTAGTTTGCGTTTGGGCAGCACTTTCATTTTTCCAGTACGCTTGCAATGCCTCAAGCCCTTGTTCCAGGAACAGCTGAGGTGTGGAGAAGCCCTATTTGGAAGGCTTTGTTGACGGCCTGGTGGCCTTGGTTGCAACTTACAGGGTACGAGCCCAGGCTCTCATCTTGAATAATAATGATCTTGGTGCAGTAGCAGTACCTCATGTCTGCTTTTGAGAAGGACTGGGCCCCCTCAGAAATATTCCATTGTGAACCTAGCTGCCCAGTGCTGAGGCGAGATCACCTGCGGGAGATTTCATTCTGTTGGCAGATGCTTGGACGCGGTATGGTCGTTTGCAGCCTGCTCCTTTCAAGGTTCTGGTTGCCGTGTTTTCTCAAAGTACATACGATGCTAACGGCTTTGGCTTAACGTGGGGACTTCTTGGATCAATCTTCGGAGCCTTGTGCCATAGGTTTCCTTGACGCAAATTTTCAATGCCAGCAGCATGTCCACTACAGAAGTGAGGCTCTATACAACCGAGCAGGATTCAAGAGTCCGTGTCAAGCTGATGTGGATCACTCGGGCTGCGCTGTAAGAGTTCGATCTGAAACGCTTTGGGG